ACCACCAATATCTCTTGTTAAGAAATTGCATAATCATGGAGTGAAGGTTTTCCATGCTTGTTTGAGTGGTTTGACTTGAGGTCAAAGGCTACTCCTGCCACCCCCTTTCACATCCCCACCCCTATGTAGCAGGACCCAACTTAGCTAGGAGGAAGCTAGTGTTGGCTTTTGGGAGACTGTTCCCAAACCATCTGTGTCTCAGTCATTTAAGACGTTCACTGCATTAACGGTGACTGTTTTAACAGCAGGCTTCTCTCCTCCATATGGATTCTACTGTAGAACAAAATAGGAAAGTGACTGCAGCTAGCTCTGCAGCACAGTTGGTGGTGAAGGTGCCTGGCAGCAGCCTGCAGTGTGGTTTGTGAGTGGTCTTACAGTTACTCCCATTGGTTTTGAGGAAGAGGTTAGCTAGACTATAACCTATTAGCTATTCTAAGACAGTGTTTACATGAGTTAATCACCTTCAAGTCTCACAACTGAGACAAAATTGTTTTTCAGTTTTTGTCTTCATACCTGTTCTCTTGCTGAAATCTTAACTGTAGTGAAGATAGAATTTCTGTTTACATTTTGGGCATGGTGTGGCTGGGTGGAGAAGTTTCATGCTTTGGGATCTTGTATTTGATTCTGCAGTTGTAGAAGGCTTTCATCCTTGACAGCTTTGTACAGAAGGAAGGAAAGGCTTTGAGTTTGGGGACGCAAAGTAGAGGTTCCGTGGGAAGTCCCTGATGGATTGATTGCCTCTGGTCTAGACACAGCATTGTTGCCCTCCCTGTGGTGCTAACCTGTGGCTGTGTGCGCCGGGCACGTTGTCTGCTATTGAACTGCATCCTCAGCTCTGTGTCTTTTAGGGGGCAAGGCAGAGGATCTTGAAAGGTGGTTGAAGCCAGAGGAAAAGATGGAGGTTTTAAGGAAGATAAGCTTGCTCTCATCTCCACATACTTTGGCAGAAACCTTTTTGTCTGTGTTGCAGTTCCCAATGAGGCTGTCCTCCAGTTCTCTCTGACCAGAATTGCTGTAGCAAAAGTACTACTTTACATGCTGGTTCTACATGTTGATAGTCTTAGAATCAGTCTGTTTAATAAAGGTGGGCTGTGACCAAGAAAACTGCCAGGAGCATAATATTGACACTGCGGGTGGTGGTAGCCCTGCTCGGCCTGCCTGTGTTATGACTGGGGATTCACACAAATCTGTCATTTATAAGCGGAGAACAGAGGAGCAGAATCCTTTGATAGCAGAGAAGAAGCAGTCTGTTTTAGGAACATTTGTGCAAAAACTTTTCCTTCCTTTCTTTTCTCTTCTCTTTTTTTTTAAAGGCAGGGTTTCTCTGTGTAGCCTGGGCTGTCCTGGAATTCAGTCTGTAGATCAGGGTAGCCTCAAACTCAGGGATCCACCTGTCTTTGCCTCCCATGCTGGGATTAAATTCAAATTCATGACAAAAACCTGTTTTGATTATATTAAAAGCGATTTTATTACTTAAAGATTCTAGATCCAAAATGCTTAATGTTTACAGTATTCTTGACTTGAACTCCCTGACTTAATACACTTAATTCTTTGATAGTCCTTTGTAGACAGAGATCCCATAGTGAAAGCAGTGACAGTACTCACCTGTCTGTCAGCCCTTGAGACAAGAACGTTCCTCGGAGTAGTTTACTTGCTTTCCTTCACAGTGTGAAAGCCACCAGAGCACTTGAGCTTTAAGGACAACCCGGCATGACGGTTTAGACAGCCGCCCCGCTGTCTATTTGGGAGTGAGCTTGGCCTCGGTCGCCCCCTATACCTCTGCAGCTGGGGACTGCTAGATCCCAGTAAAGCTCAGAGAGCTTCAGCTGCCCCACTGGCGGGAAGAGAAAAGGGGTTGTTGGCTCCTTCTCTCTGTGAATTCCTTCCAATGACTAAAATTACTGTAGAAGGGGCTGTGGGCTTGCCTGCCAGTTCAGTGGCACTAATTCCACAGAACTAATGTGATAAATTATTGTATCGAGTTCAGTACAAATGTCTATGAACTAAGCTATTTCTCCAGCTACACTAAGTTGTTTTTGAGGATACGTTCTACTGTATGTTAAACAAGGACTCTTCATTCTGTGTATTTCCTGTCTTGGCATAAGGAAGCATTGTGCTTTGATGAGAGAAGGAATGTTACGAAGTTGTTTTGTTTTTCATTGTTATTTCACATCTCTTTTAATCTGAGCTACTGGATTTTCTGAAGAACTAAACAGCCTGTTGTTATTAACATGTTTCAGATGTTTAATGATTTTTCCATTTGAAGGATTCAGGATTGATGGATAATGAACTGTTTCTGCTGTGGCACAAAGGAGGCGAAACTGTCCTCAGTGGAGAGCAGTGTGTGGACTAAGGCAGGCGTGCTTAGTTCAGGGAATTCCACCCGCAGGTCTCCTGTCCAGAGAAACTAGTGGTACTTGAAGATAGGAAAGTTCCTGTGGTAGCCATACCTTGAAGCACAGTATTGTATATAAGTAAATACCTGATTCTAAATTAAATCCAGATTTAACTAATATATATTATTTTATATCTTTGTTGTATTAAAATGTTTTAAAACACTAAAAATAAAACATTTGAAAGTTGAAAAAAAAAAAATGTTGAAATCCAAAGGCAACAACATGCCCATACTTGGAGTGTTTCACACACTTTGTGCACATCTAACTTTCTTCACATACTCTACATAAGATTTCTCTTAACTCAAGATGTAACTTAATAATTCCATACAATATGTAGTATTTTCTCTAAATTTTTTTTCAAAACTATGCTCTATGATAGAACTTAGTGAGAACCAAGTGGACCACCACAGTAGACAGAACATTCTGGAGTATCCTAGAAAACAGAGCTGTGACATGTACACACCTGGGCCGCCCTTTTGTGCTCGGTTTTGAATCTTGGCTCTGTCCCCTCCTGGTCACGTGCCTCTGGGAAAATTACTGATCTTTTGTGAGCTTCAGATCGATCAGCCATCACAAGCACATCATTATGCTTCTCTTGGTGGTGTCAGAGCTCAGTGAATACACTACACCACAGAAAATAAAGCCTAAAGCAAATAAAACAGAAGGAAGCCAGCAAGGAGGAGGCAAGGCTGACCTCTGCCCCAGGTGTTACCATACCTGCAGTTTTCTTCTAAACTCACGTTGCAACCAAAACAAAAAGAACACATGTCTCCCTTCATGTGATACCTTCAAGCTGAAGATCAAATTCTCCATGATCACCCAGAGCCTTGAAGTGTGCCTACTTTCATGTTTCTGTCCTCAGACAGGCGTCATGACCTCCTTTCCTTTCAAAGCAACACAGCTGTTCCTCACTAATGTCTACAAACTCTATGTGAAAATAAAATAGAGCCACAGATATGAGGAAATGAACCTTATTATGATCCCAAGCAGGGAACTCTACAGACATGTTACTGGGGAGAGGGACTTAGGAAGAGTGGGGATTGAAATCTCTCTGGAACAGTTTGATTCTGCATAAAGGGTTCCCTTTTCACACTTGCAGTCCCCCCACCCTGGGAGAAAAATGAAATTAGTTCTTATTAACTTAGGCTATTCCTCCCCTAGGTTTATATTTATGCATTCTTGCCAGAGTTGAGCACCTTGTTAACTGGTAATAGCATGAGGTCACATTGGATAGTTAAACTATATTTTATTGCTGCAGACATTAGTTACTGGCCTGTGAAGAGGGTTTTCTTGTGTGTACATTTTTTATTCTATAAGTACATCTTGCTTCATAGACTTAATTTATTGGGAGAAACAGACATTACAATGATTTTCTTAACAATCTGAAGAAATGGAATTCCAATATGCCGTATGCCTTCTTAGAGCTAACAGTTGTTTTTCTGAAATGCTTGAAGGGATACTAGCCTACTGTAGCTAGCATGTGGCTCTGGCAGGCCTTGCCCTTCTCGCCTATTCCCCCTGCCTTGCTAAAAACCATTAGATTATATTCCTAAAGCTATCCACCAAAGTCTACTCCCTTATGTGGCCAATCCCTCCTCCTGAGGCTGACCACCAAGGTAGCTGAATCAAGGTATTGAAGTTCAGCAATCAAAAGCCCCCTTTGGCTCACCTAATTAACTTGCCAAATTAAAATTAAACACCTCATTCTAACATGAGGTTTCCCATTTTACCTTTATAAGCCACCATTTATTTGCCTATGGGCCTCATCTGTTTCCCCTCTTTCCAGAGGCAGTCCGTTGTCCTCTAGGACAAATGTCCCTGACCCCTTTCCCTGGTTCCCTTCCCTACTCTCTCATCCCTAAACCCCCTCTTTGTCTCTTATTCCCTGCCCTCTGTACCTCTGGGGCAAATAAACCTCCTTTGCGATGAGAACTTGGTCTTGAGGGCCCTGAGCTATCACTTTTCCTTTCAATACATGAAGTAATGCCCAAGGATGACTTGCCTTTCTGATAAATGGCTGCATAAACAAAGGGCTTGGAAACTAATGAGGCAGGATCATTCTGCTTTTTCAAAAGGAAAATGTTTAGTTTCCTAAGACTTTTTTTTTTAACCTTCTCATTATGCAGTGTGTACCCACAAATTAAAACAAAAATAGTTTGAGTTAGACAAGCCGCATAATTTTGGAAGTGAAGCTAGATAGATCCGGTTGTTTTATTTTCACATGCCCTGGATGTTCCTAGTTTTATTTAAGTTCATCGGAAGTGTGAGATATTTGCAGATGTCACACTCTTGTTAGGAACATTCATTCTTACAAACAGGAACTCTTTTAGAAATCTGATAGATTCTTTGTAATTCAACTGCAGTAAAACTTAGGTATGTATTATTTTCAGGTTAATTAGTTCAAAAAGTCATAATTAAGTTTTCTTAAAACACTGGTCAAATCCACAAGACGGCAAAGAGACAGGACTTCAATGCATGTATTTGGCAATTCCTGTTAACTATATATATATATATAGACAGAAAGTGGCCATCACCATCCTGTCAGGACATTACTCTTTCATAATCCAATTTACCTAAGGACAAAAGAGGCTCACGATTTCTGACAATTTTTAAAGTGATCCATTGGAAGGACAGTTTCATGTTTATCATTTTATTCAGTTTGAGTCACTCCTTTAATCAGGGGAGTCTATAGGCCTTTTGATTGTCTATTCAAATTCATTTAGTTTCAAGTTCAGTAATAATGAACTTATTACTTATTAATAGCTTAACTGTCAAATCGATGAAGAACTAAGTTAGCCATTATGGAAGAAGGCTTTCTCTCAAAGACTATATCGTGTATTATTAATTTTTTGAGATGAAAAATTGGCTGATCTGGCACTTGTGTTGCAACCCAGGCTGATCTCGAACTCATTGCAATCCTCCTACCTCCACTTTCCCATGGAATTACAGGAATGTGCCACCTTGCCTGGCTTAATATCTGTACATTCTCAATCAGCATATAATGTCACAGCACCATAGCTGGAGTCATGTAAGTCCTGGAATCATCTTTGAAAACCCATCAGCAGTTAGTTGAAGAGAGTTTTGAGGAACAGCATGTAATGCAATCAGCTGCCCTGTCTCATTTGTGGAGAGAATCGGGACTTGGTTATGGAGTTGTCTCTCGGCTCTCTCGTGTCTCAGTGGTCCTGATTTTTCCTGTATTCGGGCCACAGGGAAGATAACCAGGGACCATGCTCAGAGAAGAACATGCATAGCTGTCCTGCAGAAGCAAAGTGGCCACAGCTGAGAGCCCATCGCTCATCTCTGCTAACGTGTGCATCTATTGGTTGAATTTCCTTTCCGAGGAGAAACCTATGAAAGACAGTAAGAAAATGATTCAGATTACATTTTTAAATTTCAATTTTCTTCTGGCGTAGGGATAGAAAACATAAACTTCTGGGTTGGCCAAAAGGAGAGATATTTCACTCATGAACTCCCCACACACTTATTCAGAAATCTAAAGGTGGGCAATTGACAGTCATTGTTTCAACTACTTACACAGGCTAACCATTGAGGCAATTAGAATGGTCTAATTCTAATCATGAATGGAGAAGAATATTTTACATCAGAATTCCCATTCTCTCTGGCATTGCAGTGACTTGGGCATTTGCTTATAAAGGTAAATCATCTCTACTGTTACCTCTCAGGCTTACCCTCCCCCCCAAAGAAAAAGCACTTGCCAAATGCACACAATTGCTGGTTAAAATGTTTCCTTAGTACCTGCCTGGAATTCAGTACTTGAGAGGCTGAGGTAGGAGGTTGACCTCGACCAGTGGGCACTAAAGAGCAATATGTAGTCTCAAAAAAACTAAAAGAAGGGTAAAATGGTACTGACTGTATTGTAAAAGCCACAGAAAATATCGTAATCTGTAAAATTTGTTAGTGCAGTATGAAGCTGAAGCTGAAAGTGTTTACATATTTTCATAGGCTTTGGATAGAACAGCATAAGTGAGCATGAGAGAGAAGATAGAACCAGAGGTTTACACGTGGGTGCAGGAAACAGGAATAGAGTTGTCATGAAAGAACATGTTTCATTTATTCATCATAACATAGAAATATATTGAGTATTTATGTTTGATAGCCTGCACTTGGAATACCCAAGACATAAAAAGCTAACATCTTTGTTTAAAAAAAAAAGCCATGAAGAAAATGTTAGTTTTTTCCATCTAAAGAAACATCTCTATGAAACAGATAAAAATCAGTACAGAAAACCACAAGCCATCAACACGCAAAGAACAAGTGATGATGTGGTGCCCAGCCCCCACTGATATATCTACAACACAGCTCCTGCATCTAAGGTTTAGTGATTCTAGCAGAAGAGGGGGTAGAAAGGTTGTAAGAGCCAGAGGAACAGGGAGTTTGCTATGAGACTGTGTCTCCTAGAAAGGTCAGAGGTTACACCCATGAAGTCTCATCAGATGGTTGCCTAAAAAATGACCTGCCCAAAGATGACACCAACGGGCAGGCTACCATGGAAGGGGGAAGTTCATGGGGCCACAACTCTAGGCAAAGAACTATAGGCAACAAAAGTATGTATGCTGACAGGGGAGAAATAACCTTCTCCAGGGAAAAGTCCCCAATGTGTTTTAGATACCAAGTGGTCAGCCTTGAAATCATATACAAACAAATAACATTATATAGAATTAGCAGGTTATATTTATATATTTAGAAATATATATGTAAACATATATAAATATGTATTCCTAAATATGTTAACACATTTACATATTTGTAAATTTATTATATATGTATATACACAGAGAGAGAGACATGTAACAACAATTAAAAATACAAGCCATGAATTTGAGAGAAGGTGAGGGGGTACATGGGAAGAATTAAAAAGAGGAAAAGGAGGAGGGAAGATGATGTATTTATATTTTCATTTCAAGAAGATTTAAAAAAAACAGGTTTCAGAAAAGTATGGCCATCATAAAAAAGGTAACTGACGAAGTACTGTGACAGAGAGGAGAGGTCATTACACACTCCTTCAGAAATAAGACGCAGAAATGTTATTACACACTCCTTAAAGAGAAGCAAGATGCATGTGATTATGTAATATGACAACACTTCTTATTATAGTAAGTCATAACAACAGAGAAGCCAAAGCTAGAAGCTTTCTGTGCATTAAGAAGATAAATAATTGTCACACTGAAGCGTAATTCACCAGTGTAACTAAGGGGGTTAGGACTGAATACACTAAGGGCTCCTGTCTGCAGGCATGTTTAAAAGGCCCTCTTGTCATTTGGCCAGTGCTGTTTTGCGATAGGTAGAGCTAAGATCCTTATCATCTTGCTTTGGAAAGAGGCTGTGGCCATGAAATAACCCATAGCAGAATGGGAATTTGACAAAACCAAAGTCAACCTTTTTTTTTTTTCTGAAGGGAAGGTAGAGTTTTCCTAAAACCTAGGCCAGTTTTCCCAAACCTGCTTCCCATTTGAGATGCAATAATATACAGCTTGTTCTCCTTCCTAAAAGCCTTTAGTTTCTGTTTAAGAGAACATAAGCAATTTACTAATTTAAGTAACAAATTATATAACATACCCATTTATCCATCTGTCTTCTATCTGTCATCTATCTATATGTTCATCTATTATATATCATCTGTCTATATTGTCATCTATTTACTGTCTATATATTGTCTATTATATATTATCTGTCTATATTTATTAATTATTCATATATTATCTATTATCTATCCGTCTATTACCAACTATCATTTATTACTCTCTATTATCTATCATCATAGCTATCTATCATCTATATATCTATTATTTATCATCTATTTATTGTTCATCTATTATCAATCATCTACCAATCACCTTTCATCACAGCTATTACCAATACATCTATCATCTATTACCTATCACCTAGCTAACCCTATATCTCTATCCATCAATATATCTGTCACATATCCCTCTTTATCTACATATTATTCTAATATCTATCATCTTTCTATATACTGTCTATATATCACCTATCACCTCCTATCATTGATCTATTATCTATCTTTCTAACATCTATCTTTCATCTATCTGTATGTATCATCTATCTGCCCATCTACCTTCTATCAGTTTATAATCTGTCTATCCATCCAACATGAACCTACCTTCTATATATTCTCTATCATCTATCATTCAGCTGTGTATATATCTTCTATTTATCATACAGTATCTAGCAACCCATTCTCTATCCATCTATCATCTATTATCTACCTATCCATTATCTATTCACCTATAACCTAGTTATCATCTATTTATAATATATATCACTATCTAACTTTATTCATCTGCTGGGTGCATATATGTAGTTGTTAATTAAAGTATTCAACATTGTTTGTGAATTAATGTTTCAATGGGAATATATTTATCGCTTTTATGTTTATATATACTTTAATAGTTCTTTAGCAAAATCATTGCATTTAGTGATAAGCAGAACTTTTGAGAGATTTTCTATTTTAATTACTAGTAGAATAAGGGAAAATGTATTTTACAAGGAAAACTATTCTCAATAACCTATCTGTACTGGATACTATCCTAAGTATAATTGTAAACATCCTGTTTCTTGTATCTCAGAGTAAGCTTTGCTATTTATATAGTCACTTTGTTTTTGCATCCTGACAGGAACAGTGAAATAGTCAAGTAGCCAGTGTTTTTACTACCATAAGCATTATCTATAATGATACAATATAAAAACTGCTATAAAAACATAGAAACTTAAAATTAAAGATGCTGGTTTTCAAAATAAGATTATTATAATTTATTAGAATTAAAAATCATGCATGTTTGACTTTATTTTATTTTACCTACTATTAGTTCAGGATAGTCCATATTTCTTGGTAGTCCTAATGTGGGATTTGCTGTCAGGCTACCTAGACTTTCCTATGCCCTAGACAATAACAAGCTGTATGCATGTTAACAAGTTATGTTATCTTTCTGTGCTTCAAATCTCCACATTTATAAAACATGGACAGTTGTGGTGATATTTTGTGTATGCTCTAACAAATAAAGCTTATCTGAAGGTCAGAGGGCAAAGCCAGCCACTAGTTAGCCATAGAGACCAGGCAATGGTAGCACATACCTTTAATCCCAGCACTCAGGAGGCAGAGGCAGAGGCAAAGGCAGAAGCAGATGGATCTCTGTGAGTTCAAGGCCACCCTGGGCTACACAAGATTGATCCAGTCTAAAATAGAAACAGAGCCAGGCAGTGGTGGCACACACCTTTGATCCCAGCATTTAGGATCTCATGCCTTAATCTCAGCACTAGGGAGGTGATATGGCTGGGTGGAGAGAAAAATATAAGGTGGGAGGAGACAGGAGCTGAGAGCTCTTTCTGGCTGAGGATTTGGTAGAGGTAAGAACTCAAGCGTCTGGCTGCTCTGCTTCTCTGATCTTTCAGCATTTACCCTGATATCTGGCTTTGGTTTTCATTAAGACCAATTAGGATTCATGCTACTTAACAGGCTTGCTATAAAGCTTTGATGAAGTATTATATGTATACACAAAGCACCTAAAATAATGTTTGCCATGTGGTCAGTATTATGGATTGAATTGTACCCTGGAGAAGAGACGTTTAATTCCCAAAGTTTGGAAATACGTCTTTGCATATGGGACTGGGCGGTGATAAGGTAGCTCTCCTCAGGGTTACCTGCCACTCAGCAGAACCAATGTATTTCAGGTAAAAGGGAGTTTTGGGTATGAACACAGAGGAAGATGGTCATGTAAAAGGAAGGTACAAATAGGAGCTGAGCTGACCCGTGATGGCTGTTTATAATGTTTACTTTTCTTCACCTGAGAGGCAATCCCTTGGACATGTCTGTGAGGGTGTTTCTAGAAAGGTATAATTGAGCTGGAAAGATATAACTGAATGTGGGCAAGGGCCATCCATGGACTTGGGTTCTGCACCGAATAAAACAGAGAGTGAGTGGAACACCAGCATTCATCTTATCCCGCTTGCTCACTGCTGGCTCAGTAAAACCAGCTGCTCTTGCTCCTGAGACCACGTGTTCCCTGCTGGGGTGGCTCAAACTCTAAGCCCAAATAAACCCTTCCTCTCTTGTGTTGCTTTTTGTTAGATATTTCGTTACAATGATGAGCAAAGCAATTCATGTTCAGAATACCTGGAACTACCAGAAGTTGAAAGAGGCAAGGCAGGAACCTCCCTTACAGAGTTTTTTTGAGGGATCATGACCTTGTCAACACCCTGATTTGAAACCACTAGGAAGAATGTTTCTGCTCTCTGAAACCAACTAGTTTTTGGTCTGTGTATTTCCATTCCTACAAAACAAGTCTAGCCGGTGTTCAGAGTGGTAGAAA